TTCAACGCCTTCCTCTTCAGTTAAGGTCTGGGCGACAGCGTGTGGCACTGTGTTACCAACACAGGAAGCGTATCTGACGTCTTCCTCTTCAGTTAAGGTCTGGGCGACAGCGTGTGGCACTGTGTTACCAACACAGGAAGCGTATCTGACGTCTTCCTCTTCAGTTAAGGTCTGGGCGACCGTGAGTGGAACTCTGTAACGCACTGTGAACACGCTGTTCTCAGTGTTCGTGACAGCTGCAGCTGTCTGCGGAACTAAGTTACCCGCCTGTGGACCTAGGTTACCCACTTGGCCAGCGTCTCTTCTGGGCGCGGCCACCATCAAAACATCCTCGGAGTCGTCATATACGTCGACGACTCCCAAGCATCTGCCGGATGCTTTGGTACCCTGGCAGCCCTTGCGGGCGCCCCGGCTTCTGACAGAGGTGGGAACATGACTTACCAATGCTCTGTCGGACTGCGCAGGGCGGCTGGCACCGATTGCCTTGCCTCGCCAGTCGATACAGGGCTCGTGCTTCTCAAGCCAGGGCATGCCCAGGATCATATCATATGGATCCATATCGAGAACAGTGAACTGTTCGAGGCTGTCAAAGTCTTCAAACTTGACGGCCAGATCCACTTGGACGTTGGGGACAGTGACGACCTTCCCGTCGGCCAGTCGCACTGACACCGTCCCGTTGCCCTTGCTTTCTCTCAAAGCATCGGACAACTTGTTGCTGTTACGAGCAACCGTCTGGCGGCGTGCGAAATTCTTCGACTCCCCAGAATCGATCAAGATTCTAAAGGGATGATCGTATCCCCGTACACATCCGTGTACTACGAGCAACCCGCCGCTGCTCTTCGCCGATTCGAGAGTGCGAAGACTCTCAGGGGCTAAGTCCCCGTGGTACGCGCCACCCGCGCACCCATCACGAAGACTTAGTTCTTCCCCAGTAGGGCACCCCGCCCCTACTGGTTCCCAGCGTTCCCCTGTCCCCGGGATCCTGGCTTCTGACAGCGACCCTTGAGGACGGGCTTGGGGAAGGACCGTCTGTGGAGTCTTTCCGCGGGACAGTCGCGCTTGAAGTGGCCCACCTTCTCGCAGCCGAAGCAGCGGATGTCACGCTGTTCGGCGGACCCGAGTTCCATGGGAACTGGTCCGTTGGGGCTTGTTTGACCGGGAGCCGACAAGGAACTCCCAGGCCACGCTGAGGCCGGCGTACGCGCCTGGCGATGGCTGTACTCTTCTTGAAGAGCCACTTAAATCGCCTCTTCAAGGGTGCTTGACTGCACCCGGAACAGCTGAGTGCGTGCGGGGCCCACTCGAAGGCCGTCCATGAACACAGTCATCTTGATGTATTCGTTGAGTGGGTTTCCCACTAGGGACGCCGTGAGCTCCCGTATCTCTTGCACATACTCGTGCAGTTCGCGCCTTCCTTGTTTACACGCGAGGAAGCGCGAACGCTGGCGGTACTCGTAGTTCGCCGGGAGGAACGCGGCTCGGAGCTGTTCGCACAGCTGAGCCCAGGATGTGAAACATCCAGGGGATGTTGCTTCCCGTGTGTACACCCAACTCTTAGCACGGCCGCTAAGGTTGGAGAGTGCAAAAGCAACACGCAGTTGCTCGGTCGAGATCAGAGCCGCGTCCATCGCGAGCTCTACTTCTCGGACCCAGAAGTGAAGGTTCTCGCCATCCTTCCTTTCATACGGCTTAACCTTCAGCCGTATTGGCTTCGGGTGAGGCGGATTTGCTTCCGCCGCCGGAGCCTGCAGGTTCTCCCGCACATGCGCGATGAGGCTTTGCTCGTACGCGTCGAATGCATTGACGCGCTCGAGCTGCTCAGCCGGTGTTGACACCACCAGGCTCTGCAGGGCCTCCATCCCGAAGATGCCTGCCATCTTCCGAACCGACTCGAACTGAGAGTCGTTCATATGGTAGAAGTCGTTCCTATCCATGGCAACGAACTTCGGAGAGGTTCAGGAAGTCTACCCGCGATGGCGTGGATTGACTTCAAGTGCTACCAAGTGTGACGGGGTCACACAGCACCTTGCGCTAGAGGAAGTTATCCTCCGAGAGTATACAAACTCTCAGTGAACGGCAGTTCACAGGTCCCCTCTTTATTTAAAGAGAGGGAAGTGACCTAAATAAGGTAGATTGTAAACTGAGTATATTTATAGGTAGGTTAAGTTTGGGTTTAATACAAGCTATAAGTTACCTATAGAAATGCAATGTCGTTTAACCAATGGTTGGCTTTGAACGACCTTGGTACCTTGTACCAAATATCCCGGTGTATGACGTGTCATACACCTGAAGTGTGAAGTGTCACACTTCATGTAACCAGGGTACACTTAGGGCTACGTACCCCGTTACATCGCAGGTGACGCTGAAGACGGACAGTCATGGCCTAGCCAGTATCTGGTAGCACATCTCCGCGCGCACTCCGTTGCCGACTCCACGTTTGATCAATACAACCATGCCTTCAACAAGTGGAAAAGATGGACTTCGCGACGAGGACTTTCTCCCTGGCTTCATGGCATGACTCTCACTGACATGGTGAAGCACATATCGGATTTCGTGTTACATGGATTTCAGTTTGGCTTTGGATCCGGCGCTCCCATCCGTAGCGACTCCATCATGGCGGTGCTCCATGGCGCCATTTCTTCGCCGCCTCCGGATGTGAGTTCCCGATTGAACATCTGCACATTCGCATGCTTCTCAAAGGAATTAGCCGTGTCGACACGCCCCGACGCCGCGCGGCACCCGTGTCATGGACCTTTTAGAAGCATGCTTTCGAGGCCCGGCCATGAAACATTCCCGTGACCAAGCCCTGTGGGGGGTAGTGTGCTTGGCATTCTTCTTTCTTTTAAGAGATCAGAGATCGTAGCCATCCAAGGTGGATCCTTCAAGTGGTTCGCACTACGAGCCCAATACATCGTGGTTGTGGATACCGCTGGACAGCCGACTCAGCGTCTGTCACAGGCACAGGCTGTTTGGATTCGCCAGATCGGGTCCAAGACCAATCAAGGGGCTCCAACGAGCCTAATACATCGTGGTTGTGGATACCGCTGGACAGCCGACTCAGCGTCCGTCACAGGCACAGGCTGTTTGGATTCGCCAGATCGAGTCCAAGACCAATCAAGGGGCTCCAACGACAAGGAAGTTATCTCGCTCCGGCCACCAGTTTCTGTGCCCCGTGTTCGGAGCTCTCATCCTCCATGAAGGTAGGAGGAATCCCTTTACAAACATCCCAGCCGCTGTGTGCATCTCACGCTGGGGACTGCCAGCCTGCGTATCGACCGAAGACGTGTCCGAAGTCATCAAAGGCGCTGCCACTTGCACTGGCCAAGACCCCGCCGGTTCAGCTCTCATTCTCTACGCACCGGGGGAGCCACGCACATATACCGATCTGACACGGATGCAATTACAATCCAGCTCCACGGCCGCTGGGCTTCCGACGCGTACAAGACCTACACTAGGCTGTGCAAGGAGTCCGTCACCACGCTTTCAGCGAACATGGTGGCAGGTCCACCGAGGGATTCGACGCTACATTAGTGGAGCCTATATGCATGACCACTTAAGGGGGCACCGCTCTCCTCGTCCCTTTTCGGATCGAGCTGATGATTTTTGCATTAGCTCTCATTAATGTATTTGTTCGTTTGACCCCAAGGATTGTGGAAATGGACTTTTTTGGATAAGTAATGCGCAGCCGCGGGCCGATCCAACTCAAAATGCTAAGTGGATGCTATGCTGAGTTAGAGTGGTTCGCAATTTTATCTGTTATTTTCTAAAATTCATGGCCGCACTTCTGCTATCCCGTATATACGGCCGCAGACAAGCATCTTCTGCTATGAGGTACATCCATGACCTGTTAGAAAGCGAATTCAATCTATTGAAAGATATAGTTTTAAGGGTCAGAACTATTTGCAAGACCCTCGTTTACATAAAGCATCTCCACCGATAGTTGAGTAAAGCTAAACATAAAACCTTGCCGGACCAAAAATAAAAAATACGTGCAGGATAGTCACAGGGTTTTGTGCTACTTTCTCAGATAGTATTTCTGACCGGTGAGATGACATTCAAAGTTATAATCCTGCACGTTCTTTTTGGTCCGAAAAGGATTTACGTTTAGTTTTACTCAACAACCGCTCTTAGAGCTGTACATTCTCACTGTTTCGACTAAAAGTGTGATCTCTAAATATCCTGGAGCTTTTGTTTTTGGATATTAGCAGCGTGACCGGGTTGCCAAACTTATTTTTGATAATTATCCTTTTCTTCGTTCTTGAAATACCGGTATTGGAGCCGTTACCGTACCTACAGTAACATGACTGGGCTGTCTAGGCATTTATGGCGGTGCACAGGAATCGGGAAATAGGAAATTTTCATTTGGGATGCCAGGCAGTTTTGCGAGTAAAGTATAGGGTCTCTGTGAGCGTAAGCTATCCATGTGGGAATCTAGCCAGTCTTAGAATGAACTTGCTCTCTTATATCTTGCTTTCATATATTACATTTAATACACGACTGCGCGCATGCATGTTTGTTCTGCTGCATGGATCGTGTTACAAGCGTTCTCAGCGAAATCGTCCCGTCCGACCGCGCTCTTTTTTTTAAGCGAGCGCCGATACAGATCCGACCTTGACAGCTTTCTTTGCGCAAGGTGAATCGATGAAAAAAATGGCCTGCGAGACACGTCGATGCTGCTGAGACGCTGTAGGGGCTCGACCAAAATAAATAAGCAAGAGAGATGCGTTCTCACTGTCCCTTTCAGCCCCAGACAGCGCGACTGTTAATCATTTCAGTTGGTCTCAGTGGTCAAGCAGCGTTGGGTGGTTTCATCAAGAGCAACGGCAGCGTTCACTTGCTGAGACATCTCGACCATCGCGTTCGATTCGTTCGCCAAAGTCGGCCGATACGTTTCGTACTTTGGCCGGAGATTAAAGTCTTTCTATGAAGAACGCTACAGAACTTTTGTCCTCGGAGCGGAGAAGACGCACAACAGATCTCGCCCCCGACAAAACACGCGAATGAGTGGCATACGTCGAAACTGGAGTCCAGGCTCCGCCAGCGAAAGCGTCTGGGCGCAGGCCGTGCACGCAGTCGTTGAGCGCCGCCTCTCACTGCGTCAGGCGTCGCAGACGTATGGGCTGCAGCAAGTCGCGCTGCACCGACTGGTGCGTCAGCACACGCTGCAACATTTGCGCCATGGCGCTGCAGCTCCGCTCCCGCTGTCCCTGCCCGGGTCAACAACCACCAGTCCGACCAACAGCGACAACGGCAGCTTCAGGACCGCAGCTACCAGCAGTAACAACGATCGCTATGTATTCCCGCGCTTGAATTCGCTGGCTCTTGGCCAACGCAGTCCCAACGGCGCGCCGCTACCGCGCGTAGCGCCCATGACTGCGGTAATGAGTCCTCCTGCGCCGGTGTGTGATCTCACGCCCGAGCTGAACGACGAGATCGTTTCCATGCTAAGAGAACAATTTATGCAGCAACAGTATGAAGAGTACGAGACCAGGGACGGACGAATCCATCGACTCGAGGGCTACGCGGACGCTGACATCGCCGAGGTGGCGCGCACGATCGTTGGCCTGTATGGACGCCGCGCACTGCCCACCTTCTTCCCGTCCGCTGGCTGGCTCACCTTGTTTAAGCGCGAGAACGAATTTGTGGATGTGGACGGCATGATCCGCGACAGCAGAACACGAACCAGCAGCCTCAAGGGCCCTTTATCGTCGCAGCAGTTGCAACAGGAGTGCTACAGCCGAGGCTGCGAGCTCGAGCAGCAGCCGTACGGACTTGAGCGCCGCGAAGACCAGCTATGCTGGGCCCAGAACCGCAACTATCGTCAGCCGGCAGCGCCGCCTCCGTCACAGCTGAGTCCTGTTCTTCGCAACTCATACGTCTGGAAGGATACTGATGGGATCGATGGAGCTGGCAGTCCGATGCGTCAGCAGCGCCTCCGCTTCGACAAGCCACCGCGTCAATCAAGAGAAGACTACAACTACCGTCGAAGCTTAAGCGCCGGGAGCAGCACTGGTCGTCTCTCTGTCCACTCCGACAGCAACTCAAGTGATCGCAACTACCGACAGAGCAACTTGGTGCCAGCCAAGGTGTGGGAGGCAGCAATGGAAGATGTAGCCATCCACGGCATGAGTCTGCGCAACGCCGCCAAAGCTCACGGCGTGCACTTCGCAGCTCTTCACCGTCGTCTGAAGAAGCGCCAACAACACAAAGTGAATTCTCCCTGTGACCCCAACTACATCCCGTTCGAGGATGAGGCTGGCGTTGTCCGTGTGATTCACTCGCGTGCTGATATGGGTGTCTTACTGACGTTCACAGAGCTGGTTGATCTGCTTAAGCGCACGGCACTCAAGCACCGTTCAGAGCTACCGGAGGAGGTGGCGACAGCACTCGTGCGCAGGTTCCAGTCTCGCGTCGAACAATCCATTCGCCACCTCATTATTGACTGGCCGGCTCTGCCGAACAACGTGCTGTACCGCCTGCGTGACACCAGACGTGAAAGCGGTATGGGCAGTATGGATGCCGGAAGGGCAGCTCCTAATGCTATCAAGAACAGCGTGCCTTCGATCATTAGTGGAAGCAGTGGTGATAATGGCTCGGACTCCTCGTTCGGGTCGTCTTCGTCGCTGTCTCCCCACCTGCAAGCAAATGCATCCTTTCCGATGATGCTCAAACCTCCAAGTGACTCTACACCATCGTTAACCACCGAAACCAGCAGCTCCAGCAGTGGCAGTAACACTACCAGCAACGACAGCGGCGGAGACACGTCTTCGGCGACGGTGTCACCCGACGAAAACGACCCAATGAGCCAACCCTGCATGATTCTTCGCCTGTGAGCCAACAGTCCAAGCGTCTCATTTGTATCGATGAACGGGCTAAAGCCCCCCACCCAGTCTGCCTAACTGCGCTCGTTGTGTGCGCTGTGTCGTGTCGTTTTATCCCCCATCGCGCGCGCGCAACGAGCTGAAGCAGACACTACTAACGATTTCCCCTGAAATGTCCGGCGCTAGGCTAACAGCTGCGCTGGACGCGTACAATACGAACCAAGATAGAGATGTATAGTGAAAATAATGTCGTACGTTGTAGATTGGACCCACTTCTCTCCACCATAAACATGTACATGTACGTTGCTATGACCACAGCGAGCTTCCGTGCTCATTTGTCGGCGAGTAGCAGCGCTCGCAGCTCCGAGGTCGTCAGCGGCGACTCCAGCTGCGCAATATCCTGGTCTCTCAGCACTGCGTGCGAGTAGGCGCCCAGGGGCGTGGCGAGATTAGTACATGCGAAAAGTGACTGCCCAGCATTTGAAATCACCTTGTCGGCGTGCACCACGGTACTATAATAGTAGATGTGTAAAGGTCAGCGGATGGTAGAGAATAGTAGAGCAACGCACCTCTGTGTTGTGTGGATAGAGGTGCGAGTTGTATCGCTCACCGCCAGCCACAAGCGCAGCATGCGAGTTCGCGCTTCCTGGCGATCCATGACTACGAAGAAATCGGAAAATGTACTGCATCTGATTGGATACAATTAGCTCTACACTTCGCGGCACTCTAATTGTAAGCTGTTGCTTCTTTGGCATGCAAACTCGTCTCGATTAGGTCAAGATCTTGCTGCAACTCATGGCGTCGTTCACTCTTCATCAGAGTCGCTTCTGGTCCCAGGAAGAGAATCTCCTCAAGTTCCTTCTCCGAGGCATCTACAACTGCCAGTGCGTCTTCAGTCGAGATCAACCCTTTCTTGTGCACAGCTAACGCAGCACCTGCATACGTTCCGAAGAACTCGACGCCTTCACTGTAATCATCAAAATGAACCGTCAGACTATCCCAATACAAGATGAATGAACAGCTTCGAGCACTTACGCAGCATACGCTCGCTTCAGTCCCCCATCACCTGTTCGAGCGAAGATCGGATTCACGTCATGAATGAAAGTAGCAAGTACCTGTTCCGGACAGCTTGTCAATAATCGCGAAGCCAACAAGGCATCGCCTTGACCTGAGTCGCCGAAGAAGACGAACTTGAACTCGGGAAACAACGCTGCAAAGCGAGAGAAGTTGTCCAGTTTGAGACTGGCAATCTTCTCGTTGCTCACGAGACCTTTAACCGATCCATTGAGCACTGTGACGTTCGGTACACCCAGACTTTTCAAGTGTTGTAGAGTCAAGTAGCGTCCCACACTCAGCCATCCTCGAGGTCTAGCAGTGAGGAAAGTGATGGAAGGACGAGCGGTTTCGCCGTTTGCGTCGTGTGCCAGTCCACGAGACAGACGAGCGAAGAGAGTCGAGACGCCAGGATACGGAATGTGGAGCGGGTAGCGCTTATCGATCCACCCGGGGAAAAGCGTGTCATCAATGTCACTCACTACTTTAATCAGATTGGGCTGGAGCTCCTTCACCTTGACACTCTCCACTGCGATATGTTGCATCATTGTGACGACTTCAGTGATATTTTTGTTGCCGTAAATGAGCTGGATGAGGTCTCCATTGTGCGGCGGCACTTCCTGTGTGTGCAGTTTTCGGTCTCCACCATCTTCAAGCTGAAAATGCCCCGAGGTATCGATAAAAGCTTCCTCGTCTGAGTGTATTTGCTCCTTGAGAACCGACAACTCGAGTCCGTACGTGCCGCAGACTACATTCGTCGCCGCAGTATGCAGTGCCGCCTTGCCACGTATCAATGGTGACATCAAGCAATGCTGAATACCTCGAATGACCAACGCTCGGTTGGCAATTGTGATCTCCTCAAGCCGCTGCCTTGTGAGGACATCTAGGACTTTCGCACGCTCGGACGGTGAGCATGAGTGTAACATGAATCCGACCATGGTCCTGCAGAATTGGCTCGATACTTCGGGTGACGTAGCGCCTAAGATGCCATTAAGACTACATGTGGACGCTGCAGCAAGCACGTTATGACAAGCCAGAGGGTCGTCCAGCCGTCGCTTGCGAGGCTTTAGATGCACCTCCTTTTCTTGCTCATCGCAGAAGACGATGGCCGTGTCATCGTCCTTTAAGGTCTTGTAACGCCACGCCGTACGCTGCTTCAGACCCTTCCACTTCTTTTGAAGTCCACCAGCCGCCAACGCCCACGTTGACGCTTCACGCAGCTGGAATATGCCCACCCGTCAGAATTCTCAGCCAATCCATATGCCATTCCAATGCTTTCAGTCTCGTATGCAACGTACTAATGGGTGTAGAGACGAAGAGGGCGTTGCAATTACCTGAATGCTCCATGTAGACGGCGTCCATCGGCTGCGAGACCGCACAGGGGTCTGAAGCCGCCGGCGGAGATGCATGGGCTGTAGGAAGTGGATGAATGACGTTTATTCTTATCACAACGGCATATTGATTGTTGCTTGAATGTTGCATGAAGAAAATACACTTCGTGTTGAAGTGCACTTAACGACGTTTACAGTTACATGTAGTTAGCCGACCAGCGGTTGTCGAGGACGTGATGGTGGGTGATACATGTAGTACAGTCGCACGCAAAACTGGGTCCTGGGTAAGTATACTTCTACTCGACATTCCTGTTTTCACTAGCGCAGAGGAACTCAAACTCGGCCATGATGGGCACGTGATCACTGCCAAAAACGGAGTTGGGGATTCCGTTGTAGTTGCCGTGCAGGCTCGATGGCAGGCGACCTGATCGGTTCAAGCTGTCCGACATGGCTAGACGATTGAACCAGTTACCTGGCCCGTCCTCAGCACGTAGCTCGCTCTCCGGTGGGATCTCCAGTACTCGCGAAGGCACCAAACTGCTCTTTGAGTACCAGATATAGTCAATCGTCCAGCATCGCCTGAAGTTGACAGTAGTGTGAGGCGGCTCGGCCTTCTTGCCTTCTTCTACCTTGAGTGATTGCAGCTCCTCGTCCGAGTGTTCCAATGCACTCGCCAGTGCGTTTGGCTTGTAAAAAGCGTAGGCGCTACGGAAAACTTCACTTAATCCCTCCAGATTAGGCTTCTGCATGAACGAGTTTTCCATGTACTCGTAGATTGGCGACTCGGGAGAGTTGTTGAAGTCACCGCACAGCACAATTGGTACACTGGTCTGTCCGGTCACAGTATCGGCTAGTTCGCGCTCGTATTTGTCCCTCACATCGCTGCTCATGCGGAGAACCTCTTCCTCAAGCTCGTAAAGCTCAGCCATCTGATGATCCACCTTCCTAGAAATGCATAAAACATGAGTTTATTTCCTTCAACACCAGGATTCTCAATTAAAAAACAAAACGTACTTGGCATTCCACCACAGGTGCGTGCAACCGACTAACACAAATTGCGCAAAGTGACGCATCTTGAGCAGAGCCAAGACAGCCACGCGATCGTGCGGATCATGGTAGTTCACTGCCTCGAATTCCTTCAATTCGAACTTGTCTTTTCTGAAGAGGTAACATACCCATCGTCAGCAAAAGCTGTGGTGCATCAACCAGCGCCAAGGCCAAACTTACTTGTAGAAAATACCGCAGCCGTCGTGCTTCTTTTCGCCGGACCAGTTCGAGACGTGAATCGATGGCCGCTTCACGTAGACGCTTTCGTACCCTCGATCCAGCAGCTCTGGCTTAAAGAATCTGCCATATCCCGCACAAGAAAATATTAGTACCGCTTGTTTTGCTGTACTAAGTACAAAGCACCAAAAGCTGAAGGCACATACGTCCAGTAGTCGCTCAGTTCCTCTAGACACAATACGTCTGCGTCCAGCGCCTCTAGTTGTCGCAGTAGTATCATCTTGCGGTTCTCCCAGTTGAGACTTGACTCTACCACATACGGAAAATGGTTCCGCGTGGCCAAGTTGCTCGCCAAGATGTTCAGCTACTCGATACCATACACAGTCAGCAATAAGAAACCTCGCTTTGCATTCTCGGCTAATGCAGACATCCCATACCTGCACGACCGTGATCTTCTGTTTACTGAGTCTGCTGGGTGTTAACTGCTCTAACTCTGTGGCGCACGGTAGCAGCCGCACACTCGATGCTGGATCGGCACTGGAGCTGCACAGACCGTGCCGCGCTTGGCAATTCGAGGACGCACGGCGAAAGGCGCGCCACAGATTGTAATTGTGTCTGGACAGCGACACTGAGGCCAGCACTGCCACACCCATGCCCAGGCACACGGCAGCAGGGCGGCCCGACAGCGTCACACTCATGATGCGAGAAAGGGAATGCTGCTGTGTAAATCAACGTTCCCCGCTTAAGATGATATGATCGACTTAGGGATCAAGTTGATGTTTACAACATCAGCTGCACACACTCTTAAACTATCTTTTGCATGGTACAATGTACCACCCCAGTAAACTTCAGCGAATGGCTGCCATCCATTCGGCACGCACCGCCAACTTACCGTCATTTTGGATTCAGGTTACTGTCAGTCCAAAGCTACTGGTGCGCTTATGACTGGACTCTGCGATGGTTTATGGGCCCCTGTGCTGACGCCTTCTGCTCTATTCTTACAGCCCTCTATCCAGCATCATGTCCCTTGTCAACAAGCCGAAGACCGTCGAGGCGGAGGAGACACGCATCCACCGCATTCGTATTACGCTCACGAGCCGTAACGTGAAGAACCTGGAGAAGGTGTGCGCTGACCTCAAGCGCGGCGCTGTGGACAAGAACCTGAAGGTGTCTGGCCCCGTGCGTCTCCCCACCAAGATCCTGCGTCTTACCACGCGCAAGTCGCCTTGTGGTGAGGGTACCAACACGTGGGACCGCTTCGAGATGCGCATCCACAAGCGTATCATCGACCTGCACGCCCCCTCGGACATCGTCAAGCAGATCACGTCGATCTCGATTGAGCCCGGTGTCGAGGTTGAGGTGACCATCGCCGACTCCGCCTAAGTGCGTAGCCGTTGACTGGTCTGTCTCTTCGCTGCCAGCACCATCATCTACACTGAAGTTGGGGACGCAACTTGCTGCTCCTAGTGACTTTTGCGGGGGAGAATTGTATTAAACACCCTTGCGGTGGGGAATATAATTCCAACCCCACGTCTTTGTGGGACATTCAACTGTGTCTGTGTTTGTATTATTCCTTTAGAAAATAACACGTGTGTGATGCAAAGGAAAGCTTGCTGTAAGCGGTGAAAACAAGAAGCTCGGCCATGTATCCAAGAGTTGTTGGCTTTGGGTTATCAAAGCTCTTGCTGTCTTGTCAATTTTCCAGGGGTAAATGTTGTGCTAAATTTGAATGATGTGGTGGCATGCATCCTGTGGGGCATTCATATTTTAGAGCTCCGTTTGCGAGCATGAATGCGTGCATTTGAGTCAGTCAGTGCTGGGACGAAGCCAGCAGGTAAGAATAAACGTTAGCAGGACGGCTGAAGAACAAGCCGACCAGGGAGATGATCATTTTAGCACATGAATGGTGACTGAGCTGCATGACGTCCGAATATGAGGATATTTCTCTTGTGTCGATGGACAAAGCACTGAAAGCAGGAAGAACATCAAGTGTTGTGAGCTGACGATGTTGATTGGTGTGCTCGGAGGGCACTTCAACTAGAATGTGGCGCACACCAATTGTAGTTTCATCCCACGGTGATTTGCCAAAATAATAATAATACCGTAGTACCACACTCGGATTGGTGAAAAATGGCCTCTTGCGTTTTGCCGTGTTAGCCATCCGCTGTTCCTGACACTCTGGTCCAGCCATACCGGAATTGCCCGCGTCCTTCGAGACCAAGCAAGCTCTCTCTCAATGGCTTCAACGACGCCGCTCGTGGTGCTCTGCGGAGACCGCGCGCCTGACGCGCTGGTGCAGACTGCGGCGGCTCTGCAGTCCAGCGGCTCGCGCGTGGCTTCGCTTTGCTCGCCAGCCGTGGAGGCTGCTCTGGTGGCCGCTAAGGTGCCTCATGTGGCTGTTGCCACGCCCGCGGACGTCCAGCTCATGCTCTCGGACCGCGTAGAGGCCGTCCTGTCTCTTCCACCCAGCGCATCGGACGTTGGTGCCGCGGCGCACGCGCGCATAGCTCAGTGGGTCTCAGGCGCGTATTCATTCGTGCGCACCGCCGCCTGGAACCACAAGCAGATCAGTGTCGTCGTGGACGAAGCTGACTTGGCTATGGTTCAGAGCAAGATCTCGCGTGACGGTTCGCTTGCCTTCTCGCCACGTGAACGTCGCGCGTTGGCTGAAAAGGCCTTCGCTCTGTTCGCCGAGCTGGACAAGGCAATCGCTTCCAGTCTCAGCGGCGACGAGGAGCCGGTACACGACGTCCTCCTGGTCGGCAACGGCGGTCGTGAGCATGCAATCGCCTGGAAGTTGGCGCAGTCCGCCTCCACCGGCCACATCTACGTGGCGCCGGGCAACGCCGGCACGGAGGACGTCGCGGCCGGCATTTCCAACGTCAACATCGGCGTGGGCGCGCACGATGAGCTTATCGCGTTCGCCAAGAGTAAGGGCGTCACCTTCTGTGTCGTGGGTCCTGAGGCACCTCTGATCGACGGTCTGGCCGACAAGATGAACGCTGCCGGCATCCCGGCGTTCGGCCCGAGCAAATTGGCCGCTCAACTGGAGGCATCGAAGGCGTTCTCCAAGGATTTTATGCGTCGCAACAACATTCCTACCGCTGCGTACCAGAACTTCACGGAGTACGAGAAAGCCAAGGAATATCTCGACTCCATCAACCACAACATCGTCGTCAAGGCTTCAGGTATTGCTGCCGGCAAAGGTGTTCTCATCCCGACCAACAAGACTGAAGCCCATGAAGCTCTACGTGAAGTTATGTTGGAAAAAGCCTTCGGATCGGCTGGCGATGAGGTCGTTCTAGAAGAGTTTATGACTGGAGAAGAGGTGTCGCTCCTTGCGTTCTGTGACGGCGAGCGTGTGGTGTGCATGCCTGGCGTACAGGACCATAAGCGTATTTCGGACGGCGACCAAGGTCCCAACACGGGCGGTATGGGTGCATACGGCCCCGCTCCGTGTCTTACTAGTGAGCTGGAACGCGAGTGTGTGGACGTTGTGGAGCGTGTGATCGCTGCGATGAAGAAGGAGGGAATGCCGTACGTTGGTGTGCTGTACCCGGGCTTCATGCTCACCCCTACGGGTCCCAAGATCGTCGAGTTCAACTGCCGTTTCGGTGACCCCGAGACTCAAGTTGTGCTGCCGCTGCTGCACTCTGACCTGTTCGAGATCATGCGTGCGTGTGTGGAACACCGTCTGGAGCGTTCGCTTGTGTCGTGGAAGAGTGGAGCTGCAGCTACCATTGTGATGGCGTCGCAGGGATACCCGAACAGCTACCCTAAGGGCAAGATCATCACCGGTCTGGATGATGCGCAGTCTCTGAAGGACGTCGATGTATTCCACGCCGGTACAGCGAACGCAGATGGCAACATCGCGACGTCAGGTGGCCGCGTACTTGCTGTTACTGCAGTGGGTCCCTCGCTTCAGGGCGCTTTGGACCGCGCGTACGAAGGAGTCTCGAAGATCCACTTCGAGGGTGCTCAGTACCGCTCGGATATCGGTCTAAAGGGCTTGTTGCACGGCGCTAAGAAGCTCAAACTGGCTGTGTTGGGCTCGACTCGTGGCAGCAGCATGCAGCCGATCATTGATGCTATTGAAGCAGGCGAACTGAACGCCAGTATTGACATCGTGGTGAGTGACAAGGCTGCTGCGGGCATCCTGGAGCGCGCCAAGACGCACAATATCGAGTCGGTGGCTCTGTCGGCCAAGAATTTGTCACGTGCTGACTTCGACGCTCAAGTGTCTGACGTGCTGAAGAAGAAGAACGTGGATCTCGTGCTGCTTATCGGATACATGCGCATTATGTCGGGCGAGTTCTGCAAGGAGTGGGAGAACAAGGTACTGAACGTGCACCCGTCGCTGCTGCCCGACTTCGCTGGTGGCATGGATCTCGCTGTGCATCGTGCTGTGCTGGAAGCCAAGAAGACCGAGAGTGGCTGCACTGTCCACTTCGTTACCGAGGAGGTGGACGCTGGTCCCATCGCTGTGCAGATGAAGTGTCCCGTGCTGGAGAACGACACTCCGGAGTCGCTCAAGGCGCGTGTGCAGCCCCTGGAAGGTGCTGCCTTCCTGCACGCCATCAGGTTGGCTCAGACTGGTCTGCTGTTCAAGAACGGAAAGAAGGAAATCACGTACGCTGACGCCGGTGTGAGTATCGACGCCGGTAACGAGCTGGTGAACAGGATCAAGCCGCTTTGCAAGTCGACGGTGCGTGTGGGCTGTGACGCTGATCTCGGTGGATTTGGCGGCATCTTTGACCTGCAAGCTGCTGGCTACGATAAGGACACGGCACTCGTGGCATGTACGGATGGTGTGGGTACCAAGTTGCGTGTGGCGCAGCTGGCCAAGAAGCACGACACTGTTGGTATTGACCTCGTTGCCATGTGTGTCAACGACCTCATTGTGCAGGGCGCTGAGCCGCTGTTCTTCCTGGACTACTATGCTACTGGCAAGCTGGAGGTGGACGAGGCTACTGATGTGGTCAAGGGTATCGCGGAGGGCTGTCGTCAGTCGGACTGCGGTCTTATCGGTGGTGAGACGGCTGAAATGCCGTCCATGTACCACGACGGAGACTACGATATGGCTGGCTTCTGTGTCGGTGCTGTGCGTAAGAACGCTATCTTGCCTTTGCCGGTCGAAGCTGGCTTTGCTGTGCTGGGTCTGACGTCGTCGGGTGTGCACTCGAACGGCTTCTCTTTAGTGCGTAAGCTCGTTGAGGTGTCGGGTCTCGCTTACAGCGACCCGTGTCCGTTTGAGGTTGGCAAGACTCTGGGTGAGAGTCTACTTACCCCCACCAAGATCTACGTGAAGCAGTTGATGCCTACGGTCAAGTCGAGACTCATCAACGCGCTCGCTCACATTACCGGCGGTGGTCTTCTGGAGAACATCCCGCGTGTATTGACCAAGGACTTGGCTGTGGACATTGACTGCGCTAGCTGGCCTTTGCCTCCGGTCTTCAAGTGGCTGCAGAAGATGGGGAACCTCTCCAACACCGAGTTGGCCCGCACCTTCAACTGCGGTATCGGCATGGTGCTGCTCTTGCCTGAGGCTAACGTGGCTGAGGTGACGCGCCAAGTGGAAGCTACTGGCGAGAAGGTGTATCGTCTGGGTACGACTATTGCACGTGCTGCGGATGCCGAGCAGGTTGTGCTGCGTGGCACCATGGCGTAGATGCGCTCAGGTAGTGGAGGCTTTTGTTTAACGCTCACTTCTGAATATTACATTTCATATCCTCGTTAATTCTCGCAAAGTCAAAGTGAAATGGTGCTCTTCTGGAAGAGCCACAGCAGTGTCAGAATGTTTAAGAACACTTCGATGTGTACGAGTGCAATAGCAATGCTGTTCATGACGCGGTCCAGCTGAAGTCTGCACGGAAATATGTAAGATAACTGAATGGTAAAGTAAAAGTAACGCGCGTACACGTGAGTCTGGAGCTGTAGGAAGTAACTATGACAAATCAAAGCGGGGGCAGCCAGCGCGGTGGCGAATACTAACGGTGCACGTTGCTTCGTCTTGTTGCCTTTGGAACCTGTGGATATTATGAGGAGTTTTTCAGCATTGTAAAAGTGACAGAGCTTAAAAACGAACTTTGATAGAGGCGAGTGTTCTCCAGAGCCGCATATAAAGCTAGCAAGATCACGTTTCCTGCCACTTCTTCTCTGGACAAGACTCCAAGTACATCTACAGTATAGTACAAGCAAACACATCGATTAGTTCGTCTGCGGCGGCAACAAAGCGCAAGAAGACATGCTTTTGTAGACGAAGAGCGATACTGAGAGAGCTGTGAATCCGTGAAGGAACCATTGATGTCCGCAAAGAAGCACCTGAAGGAGCAACGACGAGAGCTAGAAGTACAACAGGTTTTTACTTCACTTTCTATCGACACATTTAGGTATAAAAGTCTTAGCAATTACATGAACGTCTAGAGGTACAGCACATAGAAGCACAACGTCAGATATTGATCGTGGGTGTGACGTCATGAATTTTCCTACTGCTAGCGTTGTCCATTTTTTTAAATTTGCCCCAAAGATCCACGCTTCCGACTAGTTAACCTCGGTGTCGCTCAAAACGGCTACAGTCTAAAAGCAGCTTTCGTGTCAATTATCGCATTTGCCAGCATGGACCTCTACGGCCGACCAGCTCCTCGACATACATCCTCGCCTGCTGTTGCCTTCCTCAACGAGCGCCCCAAGTACAAGTACGGTGTTTCTTCTGTCGACCTGAGCATTGCCATTAACTTCGAACTTTTGGACGGTAGGTCACTTTCGTTTTCAGGATTCAAGTCACCCAGCGTAAGTCGAGAGAACGAAATCCCCCTCATCAATCTACCCGACCGCAGCTCAAACCAGCAGCAGCAAAAACAGCAGCAGAAGAAACAGCAGCCGCCAGTCCTGCACCAGCGACCAGCTAGTACCCGCTATCTCAACCGGTATAATTAAAAAAGTGGGCGGAAGAACCTCAAGCAGCTAACAAATGTGCACTGTTTTCCCTAGACCTCAAAGCAGTGGTGGTGTGCGACGGCCCGAGTCGTTCACTGTGTCTCATGAGGCAAGACAGCGACCACGCACTGCGCGTGATGGTGTTCGAACACTGCCAACAACTATCCCGAATATTCACAAGAAAACATGTTTTTCACAAGGTAAAAGCTAACAATGTTCGAGTAGGATCTTTATTTTAAGTTGATTTATCAGATCTGGAGACTACTTCAAGCCCAGAGAGTGACGTTCAACAAGACGAAGAGGAGCTAACATCTTTTCCACCAAGTCTGGATGAGCAATATCTGCAGCAGTTAAAGGCCGACATCTTACACCTTCACAAAATTCATCAACAACTTGAAAAAGAAGCAAATGAGACCGAAATTCCAGGCAGATTCTCTCGAACTACATCAGCGCAGACGCCAAACCATGTGAAAAACTTGCTCCTCCACCGCGACACGAAGACATATCTAGGATGGACTTCTCAGGACAACATAAATCTAAACGAAAATCTAGGAACATCCCTCACTGCCAGTATCCAGACTCAACTACTGAAGTATAGTTACTCTTCCGACCCTGTCAAGGTAAATTTGTCTCTTTTCCACTGTAATGTGTAAAACTAACTAGCTTTTTCACCGATGCAGCTAGCTGCTGCGAAAATTGGTCTAGAGGAACTTCTGACTGCGACACTGGTGTCGTTAATGGAGTTTTTCCTAGCTCATAGTACCGCAGACGACGACGGTAGCGAGAATATTAGATCTGGTCATGTCAAAATGAAGCTAGAACGTCCACCAGCTCAACAACACGGGAACACGCACCCATTACAGCTCGCAAATGGACGCGGCACTAGTCCGGTGTCAATTTATGTCGGTGGCATGCTCAGTGTACTCCAACAAACAGAGGTATCTTCATCGTATCCTTTGATACCCGTTGTGCAGTACACTAACCTTAGTGGGCAAACAGGTCTTGAAGCGCATCATGCTGGCAAGCACAGGAGAGAAGAAAGTTCTAGTGAAAATGCTGACTGACAAGGATGCAAAACTCTTGCAACTGACGGAGCAAATCGACTTCTTCAAGGACGCCCTGGTTCAAAGTCGATCTCATGTCGATAGAACACAGCGAGCTCACGTCCATTACGAGGACCTCACAAACCGACACTAGCGCACGTACGCACGCACACACTCTCTACCGACATCATGA